TTATGAAATTTTTCTGTTTTCCTATTCCATGAGTGGTTTAACAATGCATAAAACTGGTTAACATCTTGGGAATTTAATACTTCCTGGTATATCTATCAATAGTTGTTTTTCAGTTTCCATTGTGTTCAATTCAAATAGCCAAAGGACAAAAAAAGGAACAGAATAGCTTTTATTTGTTTTAGATTTCAAGTAACAGCAAGCTAATTAGATAAAACAATCACTTATAGGCAATACTGATCCATCATATAATTAGGAAAAAAGACAAAGACCTGAAAACAGAATGTCACCTTACAAGTGTTTTATGGTTACAAAAACCAAACTATGTAAGATTCAGTGCAAATAGAGTGCAACCAAAACTCTTTAATTGGGACCCATCAGCATTCTATTTCCTCGAATGGAACTTCATCTTTGCTTTCTGAAATGTTGACTAACTGGATAAATTATGACCAGATATATTTCTGTACAAAAGAAATTGCATGAAATCTATTTGTACAGTCATGCGCCATACAATGAAGTTTTGGTCAATGGCAATCACATATATGAATGTAGTACCATAGCATCATAGTACTATATTTTTACTCTAATTTTTTGTATGTTTATATATACAAATACTAATCATTTTGTTACCACTGTTTACAGTAGTATTCAGTATAACAACATGCTGTATAAGTTCGTAGCCAAGGAACAGGCTACATGGTATAGGTAATATAGCCTATTGCTAGCCCATATGGCTTATTGCTGTATATACCTTACATAGCAAGAGCTCAATATGATTAACTACCAGTAACAACATTGACTATTTTAACAGAAATACCAGACATTATTATCAGAAAAAAAATGATAGTTTTAAAAATATCTTTATTTGGTAAAAATAAAGGCTGGTGATATGATGTTTGAAAAGAAAACCAAAGTACTACAGATGATTGGTATACTGTCTAGCACAGGCCATATGGTATATAGTGTTGAAGGCTATTATCATCTAGGTTTATAAGTAAGTATACTCTGATGTTTACACCACAATGAAATTGACTAATGTCTGAATTTCTCAGTATGTAAACTGCTCCCCATCATTAAGTAACACATGACAAGCCATTGAGAGAAGGAGGTATACACTAAACACATGTGTTCTCTGAAAAGTTCAATTTGATGAAGACCACCAGAGAAAATGATATCTAGAAGCTAGATATCATTGGCATTTCTAATGTATCTGGTAATTCCTCCTGAGCTAAACTGCCTATAAAAGCAAGGTATTCCTACAAAAAGCCTTGTCTGGTTTCTCATATCACTTTATTTCAGATGCATTTTATGGGAAGTTTGCTACATATTCTACCTCCCATCTGATTCATATTTAACAGGGTATGCTACCTGTTCCTTTTTAGGATCCAAAGCCAGATATCTCTGATGTAGTATAAATGTGGAAGGTCACACTACTCCAACAAACTTCTCTGGCTTCTTTTACGTCTCTTGTAGTTAGGTAAATTTGAGGTTTTGGAACAATCTGTGCCATCTTCAAAAGGAAGTAATAAGAGGACTTGAGTGCTTCATCTCATAAAGCAAAAAGACTGGTAAGTATTTATGGAATACCAAATGTGAGGGCGGTCAAAAGCAGGGCAGCTGATATGGTTTGACTGTGTCTCTACCCAGATCTCACCTTGAATTGTAATAATCCCCACGTGTCAAGAGCAGGGCCAGGTGGAGGTAACTGAATTGTGGGGGTGGTTTCCCCCACACTGTTCTTGCGGTAGTGAATAAGCCTCACAAGATCTAATGGTTTTGTAAAGGGTAGTTGCCCTAGACAAGCTCTCTTGTGTGCCACCACATAAGACATGCTTTTGTTGCTCCTTCACCTTCCTCCATGATTGTGAGACCTCCCCAGAGTGTGGAACTGAGTTCATTAAACCTCTTTTTCTTTACAAATTATCAAGTCTCAGGTTATTTCTTCATAGCAATATAAAAATGGACTAATAGAGTAAATTGGTACCTGTAGAGTGGAGTGCTGCTATAAAAATATCCAAAGATGTGGAAGCAACTTTAGAACTGAGTAACAGGCTGAGGAGGGCTCAGAAGAAAACAGGAAAATGTGGGAAAGTTTGGAACTTCCTAGAGACTTGTTGAATGGCTTTGACCAAAATGCTGACAGTAATATGGAACAACAAAATCCAAGCTGAGGTGGTCTCAGATGGAGATGACTTGTTGGGAACTGTAGTAAAAGTCACTCTTACTATACAAAGAGACAGGCAGCATTTTGCCCCTGCCCTAGAGATCTGTGGAACTTTGAACTTGAGAGAGATGATTTGGGGTATTTGGTGGAAGAAATTTCTAAGCAGCAAACCATTCAAGATGTGACAGGGCATAAAAGTTTGGAATTTTGCAGCCTGAAGATACAGTAGAAAAGAAAAACCCATTTTCTGGGGAGAAATTCAAGCCAGCTGCAGAAAGTTGCATAAGTAACAAGGAACCAAATGCTAATGCCAAGACAAGGGGGGAAATGTCTCCAGTAAATGTCAGAGACCTTCCCGGCAGCTCCTCCCATCACAGGCCTGCAAACCTAGGAGGGAAAAATGGCATTCCGGGCCAGGTTCAGAGCCCGTGTTGCTGAGTGCAGCCTCAGGACTTGATGTTCTGCATCCCAGCTGCTCCAGCCATGGCTAAAAGGGACCAGGTACAGCTCGGGCTGTGACTTCAGAGGGTGCAAGCCCTGAGCCTTGGCAGCTTCCACATGGAGTTGAGCCTGCAGTGCACAGAAGTCAAGAATTGAGTTTTGGGAACCTCTGCCTAGATTTCAGAGGATATATGGAAATGCCTGGATGTCCAGGCAGAAGTGTGCTGCAGGAGCAAAGCCCTCATGGATAACCTCTGTTAGGGCAGTGCAGAAGGGAAATGTGGAGTTGGAGCTCCCAGAGTCCCCACTGGGGCACCAGCTAGTGGAGCTGTGAGAAGAGGGCCACCATCCTCCAGACCCTAGAATGATAGATCCATTGACAGCTTGCACCATGTACCTAGAAAAGCCGCAGAAACACAACACCAGCCGGTGAAAGCAGTTGGAGGGAGGCTGTACCCTGCAAAGTCACAGAGGCAGAGCTGCCCAAGACCATGGGAACCCCTCCCTTGCATCAGTGTGACCTGGATGTGAGAAATGGAGTCAAAGGAGATCATTTTGGAACTTTAAGATTTGACTTTCCTGCTGGATTTTGGACCTGCATGAGGCCCTTAGCCCCTTCATTTTAGCCAATTTCTCCCATTTGGAAAGGACGTATTTATCCAATGCCTGTACCCACATCATATCAAGGAAGCAACTAACTTGCTTTTGATTTTACCGGCTCAGAAGCAGAAGGGACTTGACTTGTCTCAGATGAGACTTTGGTCTGTGGACTTTTGTGTTAATGCTGAAATGAGTTAAGAATTTGGGGGACTGTTGAGGAGGCATGATTAATTTTGCAACGTGAGGACATGAGATTTTGGAGGGGCCAGGGGCAGAATGATATGGTTTGGCTGTGTCCCCACCCAAATCTCATCTTGAATTGTAGTTCCCATAATTTCTACATATTGTGGGAGGAACCCAGTGGGAGATAATTGAATTATGGGGGCAGTTTTCCCCATACTGTTTTCATGGTAGTGAATTAGTCTCAAGAGATCTGATGTTTTGTTTTGTTTGTTTTTGAGAGGGAGTTTCACTCTTGTTGCCCAGGCTGGAGTGCAATGGTGGAGTCTCGGCTCACTACAACCTCCACCTCCCGGGCTCACGTGATTCTCCTGCCTCAGCCTCCCAAGTAGCTGGGATTACAGGCGCCTGCCACCACGCCTGGCTAATTTTTGTATTTTTAGTAGAGATGGGGTTTTACCATGTTGGCCAGGCTGGTCTCAAACTCCTGACCTAAAACGATCGATCTGCCTCAGCCTCCCAAAGTGATGGGATTACAGACATGGGCCACTGTGCCTGGCCTGATCTGATGGTTTTATAAGGGGTTTCCCCTTTCACTTGGCTCTAATTCTCTCTTGCCTGTCACCACGTAAGACATGTCTTGTGCCTTCCACCATGATTGTGAGGTCTCCCTGCCATGTGGAACTGAGTGCATTAAACCTCTTTTTCTTTATAAATTACCCAGTCTTCGGTATGACTTTATCAGCAGCATGTAAATGGACTAATATGGCAGTCTACTTCCTAATGACAGGTTCCCAATGATAATTTATACTGTCATCATATGAGGTAGCTCTAACTGAGAAGGATAACAGGAATGCTTCATATCGCTTACTTCTGAGACTGAAAAATTGTCTTCACCCTTCACTATAATTACCATCAGCAAAAATGTTATAATCAATATATACATCAAGAAGCTATGCACAAAGTACATGAATTTACATTACCCAACATGAACCACTTATAATACATAAAGGACTTCTCTACATTTGTAGAAGAAAAAAACATATACTTATGAACAGTTCTGGGGTGTGTGGGGGTGTGTGGGTGTGTGTGTGTGTGGGGGTGTGTGTGTGTGTGTGTGTATGACTGTTTGAAATGACATCATAGATAATCCTCTTTACTGCCTGAGATTTTGGACCAAAACTATTAATACTCATTTACATTCTATTTAATTTTGTTTTAGGAAACATTTATTCCAGAGAATTTTTAAATCTGCATAACATATTTTATTATACTTGTGTTCTACTATAAGAAGTAATTATGATTAATCCAGTTTTGTTTACAGTTTTAATTATGCTTACAATAACCCTAATTTTGATAGACAATATTATCTGTTGATATCAACTATAAAAATTGACTCAAATACCCAAACAGGTATCAGTGGGTTTTATCCAATATAAATAAAAGTATTATATAGTGATTACATGAAATAATTTAATGGGTATAAGAGGAAATAGTTACATAAACTGAAAACTATTTTAGGCCAAATGTATTAATAGGTAAAAGTTGTACATGAAATGCTATTTTATACTATAATTGCTATTATTATGTAATAGCCGTACTATTAAGGACTTCTTACCTGCCCCTTTCAACTGCTAAGGCATCAAGTTCATCAAAGAAGATAATGGAAGGCGCCACTGCTCTTGCTTTTCGGAAGGTCTGGTGGAAAGAGTGCCACATTAGCTAAAGATGAGCAAACACTAGAAAATTCTGTAGTTGGTTTGTGTTTTAAAACTATAGAACTAAATCTATTAGGTACAAGTCAACCACCCCAGTCACTTTGTATAGACCTTATAATATATGCTCAGAACTTTATAATGGATGGAAAAGTATCCCCTTCAATGGTGCTTACAGAGACAAGACTACCAGTATGTACTCATATAGATGTGGGGGAGGCAATTCAGTTAAGCAATCAGAAAATTTCAGTTAAAATCCCAGGTCCACTACTAGTAACTGTGTGACTTTCCGCAGTTCACTTCTGTAAACCTCAGTTTCTATATTTATTAAATGGAGATGATAATAAACGCCTACCTAGACGGTTAGTTTAAGAACTGAATTCAAAGAAGAACACAAAGCATTTGGCACAATGCCTGAAACAGTAAGAGTTGAATAAATGATAGTTATTATTAACTATTAATAACAGCATTAACTATTTTAACAGAAATGCTGGCTATTATTATCAGAAAAAATGATAGTTAAAAAAAAGTATTTGGTAAAAATAAAAGCTGGCAATATGATATTTAAAAACAAGACTGAAGTATTGCAGATGATGAAAACTGCATTTTTGAATAATAAAATAATATTCACCTGAAGAAAAAAAATACCACTAAGATCTGGATTTGGAAATGCCAAAGTCTGTTACTTAAATTAAAAGGGAAACCACACAGGACAGAAGTGTGATTCTCCTATGCTGAGTACCATTTAAGGCACAATTTCTTACCTCTCTAACTGCTCTTTCAGATTCACCGACATATTTATTCATTAATTCAGGCCCCTGCATGAAAAGAAAACAACTGTTCAGTGTCTTTATAAATGCAATCATGTATATTTCTTTCAATGAAGTAGAAAAAATATATACAAAAGAGAAAATAAACAAAATCTGCTTATTAATCCCTTTAGCATGCTTATTTTCTGTGTGTTATTTATGCCATAAAAGTTAAAGCCATTCTACGTTCCAGAAGCTACACTAATACAAAGCAAAGGCTGTGACTAATCATAATATTTTAACAACTTACTCATCATCTATCTATAACTTTATCCACATTTTCACACTGTATCAGACGTGGCGCTAGGCACAGAAGATGGAACAGCCATTTGTTAGACCAATACAAAGGTAACATCCACATATTTCCAGGCCTAACCAGTGGCTAGTTCTAAGCAGGTCTACTTACCAGATCTGAAGATGCAAATTTTTGGACATTAATATTTCTGAACTTTAACATTTTTATTTCCTAAGTACCTATAATATCAAATAGTGTAAGAAACACAGTAGACTTACTTTTTTTTACCACGTATATTATCTACTCTCTTAGGATAAACAGTCACCCCAAGAAGTTATGAATTAAATTGTCCCATAATGATAGATGACCTTCTCAACTGTGGGGATGTTTCTCCCAGCATCTGGCTATGCTGACACAGTTCCTCAAACATCCCAAAGAACAACAGACATGTGTGTGCCTCTCTCTCCCTCTCTATGTGTGTGCACGAGTGTACATGTACCCCCGCCACACACATACACATACCCCTTACTTTAAACAAGATTCATATTCTATTCCATGCAGATCACCAGTCCAGCTAATTCCAAGGATATAACCAGACACTGATTTGTGTATTTCCTAAACAATTTATATTAATTTTTAAAAATCTGACTGACTGAAACACATAGGCAAACCCAAAGTTAGTACGAGAAAACAAATAATAAAGAGCAGAAACAAATGAAATTGAGACTAAAAAATATAGAAGATCAACAAACGAAATCTTTAAAAAGACAGAAGAAAAGAAAACTTGATCCAAATTATAAAAACACCAGAGTGAGAAAAAAAAAATGTTCAATACAAACAGATACAGAAATAAGAGACGTCATAAACTTGGCAAAGAAAGTCTTAACGGGTATTATAAATATTTTCAAAACTTTTCAGGAAAATACTATGCAGTTATTGGCCTGGCCAAAATAAATTTTAAAAAAAGATGATGAAAAAGAATTTTTAAAAAGAGTTCTGAGAGCCTCAAAGACACAGGTCCCTTAATAATAGCAATATTAAGAGGTTTAACAAATGAAGGGTCTTTAAAAAGTTCATGTAAAAGATTATTTTAAAAATTATGCATGGATTTCAGTTATTTTTGCCAAAATAAATTCATACTAACTTGTTAAAACATGTCTGCACTGAGTCTAGTTTGAGGCACTAAGGATAAGATATCAGTTTGAAGAGCCTCTGTCAGAGCCACATGATCTCTGTTAAAATTGAAGTAAGAACAAGCACCAAATTTATGGTGAAGGTTGGATAGAAAAATGGTAAAACTACTGATGCTTTATGAAAAGTTCATGAGGACAATGCCCTAAATGAGGCAGCAGTTTACAGAAGTTTAAGAAAGAACAAGACCATGTTGAAGATGAAGCCCTCAGTGGCTGACCTTCCACATTAATTTGCAAGAAAAAAACTCATCTTGTTTGTGCCCTAATTGTAGAAGATGAATGATTAACAGCACAAACAATAGCCACCACCAGAGCCACCACAATTGGTTCAGCTTACAAAATTCTGACTGAAAAATTAAAGTTGTGCTAACTTTCCACATGATTGGGGCCAAAATCCTTATGCCTAGATCAGCTGCATAGAAGAGCAGCAATTTCAATCAAAATTGTCAACAAGTAGGATCAAGATCCCAAAGTACTGCTTCAAAGAATTGTAACAGGAGATTAAACACCACTTTACAGGTATGATCTTAAAGACAAAGCACAATCAAAGCAACAGCTACTAAGACATGGAAATAGTCTGGTCACAGCAAACATGCACTGGTCAAGAGCAAAGGTCATGGCAACAGTTTTTGTGAATGCTCAAGATATTTCGCCTGTTGACTTTCCAAAGAATGATAATATCTACTGACTGCAAGTGTTTTGAGAAACTCAGCAAAAGCTTTAGCACAAAAATGTCCAGGAAGGCTTCACCAGAGAGTCCCCTTTTACCACAATGCTCCTGCTCATTTGTCTCATCAAACAAGGGCAATTTTATGAGAGTTTTAATGAGAAATCATTAGGCATATATCTCACAGTCCTGATTTGGTTTCTTTTTGTTTCTTAATCTTTAAATATCTTTAAAGGGCACTCATTTTTATTCAATTACTAATGTAAAAAATGTGACAACTGATATGATTAAATGCCCAGGACACTCAGTTCTTTAGGAACAGAATGGCTGCTATCATCACTTACAAAAGTATCTTGAACTTGATGAACCTTTGGTAGAGAAATAAAATTTATGTTATTTTTATCTTTTAATTCCATTTTGTCCACAAACTTTTTGAAGTCCCTTCATATACACAATTGGAAAGCCAGAAGACAAGTGAAAGAGGATGACAAAAACATAGTCGAATTTGATTTTTAAAATATTAACCACAGATCCAAAGAAGCTCAATGAAATCCAAGGAAACCCCATCAAGATGCATCATTATCATATTACTAAAAACTGATATGATAATAAAGTCTTAAAAGAAATCAGAACATAAGAACACATTATATATCTGTAAACAACAAATTATGGCCGACTTCTTATCAGAAACAATTCAATGACAATGGAACACAAGGGCTGCAAGAGTGACAATGGAACACAAGGGCTGCAAGAAAAAAACCTGTCAAGCTAGAATGGCATATCTTTACAAATTAAAGATGAGAACAAGATATTATCACACGAACAGAAGCTGAGAGGATACATTACTAGTAGATCTTCACTACAAGAAGTGTTATAAGAAGTTCTAAAGCTTGATGGGAATTTACATTAAGTGGAAACCTAGATCTACACAAAGAAATAGAGTTAGAAATGGCAAATATGTGAATAAATACAGAATAGCTCCTTTTTCCATTAATTTCTTTAAGAGATAAATGACTAAAATAGAAGTTTACACTCTACAATATAAAGCGTATAGCATATTTAGAGGTAAAATACAGAATACAGCATAAGAAAACAAAGGTATACTGATGTAAGACCTTACACTATAAAGTAGTACATTGTTATTTGAAGACAGAATGTAAGTACATATAGGGTAGATGTTTGAGCAAGTATTTTTTTAAGTAAAATAAACAGGTGTAGCTATTAAGACAATAGGGGAGATACAATTGGATATCAAAATGCACTCGATCCAAAAGAAAAGAGGAGAAACGTGGAGGAAAAAAAAAACCAGAAATGGCAAACAGACAAAAATTATGGACATTAACAAATCTTTCAAGTTGCAAACATGCCTGATGAAAAGGAGACCATCTTTAATATTGTTTTTGTATGGTGCTGCTATGGACTAAATTTATCTCCCACAAATTCATATGCTGAAATCCTAATCCACAATGTGATGCTTTTAGAAGATAGGGCCCTTGGGAAGTAATTAATGAGTGGAGTCCTCATGAATGAGATTAGTGCCCTTATAAGAAGAGACAGGAGAACTTGATTGATCGATCTCTCTCTCTCTCTCTCTCTCTCTCTTTTCTCTCTGCTCTCCACTATGTGAGGCTATGTCAAGATGACCACCTGAAAATCAGGCAGTGAGCCCTAAGCAGACACCAGATCTGCCAGCACTTAGATCTTGGACTTCCCAGCCTCCAGGTTTGTGAGAAATAGATTTCCGTTGTTTAAACCACCCAGTCTATGGTATTTTGTTACAGCAGACTGAAGTAAGACAATTGCCTTCACAATGCTGCTTCAAAAATATTGAACTATTATAATATGGTAACAGATGAGTAGGTCAGAACATATGAGAATTAGGGCAGGAAAGTTAAGAGCAAAAATAAGAAAGGGACAGGAAGAACATCTCAAAGTTCAGACTGACAGAATCCAGCTTCGCCAGCAACATTGCCATCCATCGTATTCAATTAAGATGAGGTATCCAACAGCATAAACACAGGAATACTTAAGTAATGACAGAAGTAGTTATATCTTTCTGCCTGATTTTTTTCTACTAATCCAAGATGATTAATCTCTTTAAAAAACTGTTTGAGAGTAACAGATTATACATAGCCTAAAAATTAATACTTGTGGCTAATTAGGAGACAGATATATGAAAAGGGTTTTCATAAAAAAGAAAAGAGTAATTATAACAATTAAAAATATTATCTATCATTTAAGACAGATAATATCTTTACATCACTGACTGAAATCTACAAACCACAGGGTACACAAATAAACAAAGTAATTATGTATCTGTAAGTAAACAAAAATTTGCTTGGCACAATGTTTTGGACGAGTAATTTATAATTAGTATATCCATCATTTGTACATTGGTACTTAAACTGTAAGCAATCATGTTTCCACAATAGAATTATTGTTAAGCTTAAGATATTATAGAGAGACTTCATGATTACAATTTAATCACCAATACTTCCATTATCTCAATTTATTAAATAATGCAACCCCCAAATAGATTTAACTTTTAAAAAAGACAATGAAACATCAATTATGCTGATATAAAATGTTCTCACACTTTTAAGGATTTTGAAGAAAAAGCAACAACTTAATACCAAATGAATTTTACAAGCCTGTTTTTAGATACTGGTTAGACTATGTAACAGGGACACAACATTTACTACACAGCCACCTCTGAGGTAAACAAACTTGAAAGCATTTTTCCACATATTCTTGGATCTAAAAAGTTGAAATGTGAAGAGCCAGATAGTAAATATTTTACTCTATACGCCACATACAGTCTCTATCACATATTCTTCTTCTTTGTTAGTATCCCTTTAAAATGAAAAATTTATTCTTAGCTAGGGAGCTGGACCAAAATAAAATGCAGGCCAGA